AAAAAAAAAAAACGATAATTGAGAAATTTAATTTTTTTTTCTTTTGGATATAGCAGAGATATTCCTGTTATATGGAGTGTAAAGTTTCGAGAATAGTAAATCGAAACAAGCAATAAATGGATAGTACAAAAGTAATACAGGATAATTAACTTGATAATTTTATCTTTTTCATAAAAATTCAACTTTATATTTTATCATAATTCTAAGATATTTTATATTTACATGAATAATTTTTTTAATACATTGAAATTGAATGGATTAATTTTGTTAATTATAAATTTTTTAAGAAATTTTCTATTGAGAATTGAAAATTTGTAATTAAGATAAATAAAAAGTTCAAATTTGATTAATAATTTTCTTTTCAATTATCAAATAGGAACGATATTATTTGAAATTTGATGAAAGAAAAAAAAAGAAAGAAAAAATTGTAATTTGTAATTTGTTAAAAAAATAAAAATCGTAATCGTTTCTTCAAAAAAAAAAAAAAAGAAAGCTGTAATTGTAATTGTTAAAGGATGAATATAATTAAACTAATTAAGGAATAATTTAACAAATGAATGATTCAAAAAAAAAAACGAACCTGATTTGATTATTTGATAAATCAAGATAACGAAGTTTAAATAAACGTCCCAATGCAAGTGGTACTTCAATTAGCAAATTTTTGCCAAGATTTAATTCCTGTAGTTGTGATGTTACTTCAAATGTATCCATATCTATTTGATAGATTGAATTATTGAATAAATTTAGATGGGTTAGACTTGTAAGACCTTGCAAATTTTCTTCCTCAATTTCTGCTATCCGATTGGAGCTAAGATCGAGCTGAAATTTAATTAATTAGTTCTCATTAAATTAATTTCTTAATTGTTTTTTTTCTTAAAAATCTCTTTTTATATTATTTAAGATATTATTTCTATGGTATCCATCATAACAGTGAATTCTTTGATTAAATTTAAAAGAATTAGTTGAAGATAATTTTTCAAGCTAATTACAACATTTGTCTCATTTATCCATCACTTATCCAATTAAATTATCAATCAATTATCTATATTCAAGCTCCATTTGGTGAAATTTCATCATTTCCAAACTTCACATTTGCATATTTCAAGTCTTTTTAACAATTCATTTTCTTTTTTTTTTTTTTTTTGTGGTCGTTCCTCGTTCTTTTTTTTTTCCTCACTTATCATGCTTTTTAATAGTAAAACAAATAATTTTATCAAATTAATTTTGCAAAAATTTTAAATAATCAAAAGATTTCTTTTTTTTAGATTTGTTACTTTATTTTATTTTTTTTTTTGTTTTTGTTAAATATATTTGCAAATTTTTAAAATCATTTTTCTGGCAATTGTTTTTGGATAATTTTATGAATGAAAATTTCTTTTCATTTCATTTTTCAACATCATAACGAAATTTTGAAAATTGTTGTATAATTTTAAATTTTTTCATTTTAAAATGCTCCATTTAAATTCTTTTTTCTTTTTTCGTTGATTGATTTGAAAAGGAATGGACAATGGACGAAATGAAAATGAATGAATAGTAAATAATATGTGAATGAATGAATGATTGATCTATAAATTAGTAAAAATCTAGAGAGTGATGAAAGTAATGAACAATAACAAATCATACAAAATATACATATATGAAGAGGAGAAAGTTTGATTAAATAGTCATCATCTTGTGTCATCATTCAAATATGATCTATGCTATACTAAATTTACTAATGTCCGATTGAAGGATGACCTTGGATAGAAGTGTATTATATTATAAATTGAACAAATATACATTCTTTTACATATTGTTATTTATTATTTATATTGTTGTTGACAGTAATTTATATAATTTGTATTAAATGTATCATTTGAAAGGAGAAATTTGATTGTGAATAAAAAAGTATTATGACAAAATCATTTCCAAAATATCAAATATCCAATGAATATGATTAATTTCATTACTTACATATCCACTGATATTTGATTAAATTTTATTTCGGCCAGAAATTTCTTCAACAATTCCAATTTTAATTGTGATATTTCAATGAATTCAATTCAATTTCTGGTGTCTGTTTGTGTGTGTA